AAAGAAATTAATTATATGATTAACTTCCTAAAGAAGTTCAGAGAAGGAACGCATTGGGTCGAATCTTTATACAAGAGGCTAGATTGGCTTGGAGTTTGATGGATAAAGTTTAGACAAGTAGAGATGGGATGAAGGTTAACAACGAAGTTCTGCTGCTTGGGATAGTATCTCCCCCCTTTGAAACTGGTGATGCCAATGTATTATGTCTCAATTTACTCCAATACTTGGTATTTTGTTTTGGTAAGTCTTTGGAGGGAAATCTTGCAGAAGATATATGAAGAGGTACAGAAATCTCAATTCCATAGAATTGAAAAAAAAGAAATATCAGAAGAATATGGGGAAAGCAAAAGATACAAGCTTATTCTTTTTATATAATAATGTTTTACTTAGAGACATATAAAGATTTATATAAGATGTTTAAAATAGAATAGATCCTTTAAAAATATTTTTTAAATTAACAATATAAAACCTTATATTCACACTTTGAGAATAAATATTAAGAAAAGACACTTGTTTGCCAAGTTTTAGCACAAGGAGATGGTAGTTTTGAATTAGAAATTAGTATATAACAATTACTTTTACTCAAATTATTCTTTAAATTTATATAAATCATGTGTGAGTGCAAGTATGTTAGCCAAAAAGCAAGGTGGTAAGAGGCAGAATTAGCAATTCTGGTTGTCTCCTTGTTGAGTTTGGTTATGATTAACAGCATTTTAAACTAACATATCTCTGCTTTTTCCATTTTCATTACCCTATCTGAACTCATATGGACATTTAGTACAAATTTAACTCCAAGGTGTGGTAATACCAGCTCCATATCAATGACTCAGTTACTTTTGCAATTAATAATTCAGTGTAACAGACTGCAATAGTAGTGGGGAAAGTAGGCCCTTAATGGGTGAACATCATAGTTACTCATTTCTAATCCAATACAAGTGGCCAATTATTCATTGCCTTTTTAGTACTGGCTTTGTAATTTGAACCAATTTCCTAGGAAAGTCCTCTGTCCTCAAAATGGCTTTGATATACTTTGTTTCAGATGCTTTCCTCCTCCCTCCTTCCCTCCCTCCCTTTCTTCCTTCCTTCCTTCCCCAAGAAAGACAGTTATTTTTAATCATTTGGCTGTGGACTCTTTTGAGTCACAGACCTTCTTCTCAGGGAAATGTGTATTTGAAACAAAACTACGTGGACTTTCAGAGACCCTTATGGACCTCCCTGAAGTTAGTTCATTCATGTATCCAACAAGGATCTGTGACCTCTGGGTTAAGAGCTTCTGCCCTGGTGCCTGGTCTGCCTTCATAAGTTGGCTGGTTAGGTTACTCCCTTATTAGAAACCCTGGATATACCAGGAGAGGGCTTGCTCAAGAGCTCTCTAAATAGAGTGACCTCAGTGTTCCCACTCCATGGCCATGCAGTCTTCTTACCCACTCACTGTGTACTCTGAACAGGCTGAACCAGACCTGCTTAGGCTCTGGGATCCTGGTTATCAGCCCAGTTATCCAGAAAGGCAAGAGAGCTCTGAAGTGAATTCAACTTGTGACAAAGTTCTCTTAATTCCAAATGTGGTCTAGTTGAAAATGATATACTAGGAATTAACTTGCTAACACTAATCATTGTTATTCTAGGGAGGCAGCTCACAAAATGTCATCTGTAGTCCAGCATCAGGAATACAGCTGCAGTGATCCTCCAAGTTGGTTTGGCTATGACGGTGGTGGCAATCCTCTTAATGTTCAATATACAAAACCATTTAAAGGTGTCCCAGAGGTGACAGTGAAAGAGTCAGAGTACAGTAGTACTGAAGAGGAAGTATGACCTTCAGCCTCAAGCAGGAAAAACCAAAAAACAAACAAACAAAAAAAAAAACACCCCAAAATTTAGAACCTAGCAACCTTTCTTCACTTGATGAAAGTATTTTTTTCTAGCTGGATCTCAGTAACAATGTAAACAAGCAGCAAGTCATCTTCTGATTCTTATCCCACCTACAAATGTTTCTAAATATATTGGTTTTTCTGTCTAAGTAATCATGATCCCTAAATTTAATCAAACCAATAATTTTGACATTATCAAATTTAAGGTTGTATTATAGGAAACAACCCTGAGAGATGTAAATTTTTTGAAAAGAATTTTTAAATTTGTCTCTAAATAAGCAAGGATGGCCATATAAGTCAAAATAAAAATTTGAGCCAGGACAATGACTTTAAGGATCTGTGAAGCTTTATTATAAAAGATAGACATCCATTTTCAAAGGAAAAGGGGCTCTTTTTTGTGATTTCCAGGTATTTTACAACAAAACAAAACTAAATACAAATTAGCTCTGGATTCATTTAAATACTTTAATAGGGGAAATTAAAAAGAAGCAAAAATTGTCTATGAACAGAAAAGTTATAATTCCTATAATGTCTCAGAAATATCTTTTTAATCAAGTTTACACTATGGAGGAATTTTAAAACTAAACTGTGTCAAAAAAGATGTTCCCTCAATTTTTGCTAGGAGGTATGGGCTATTAATTTGCATACACTGATATTGACAGAGTCCAGGAGAAAGCACAGCTCTGTTCTGACTGCTACATACAGGCACATCAGTGATATTAGACAGTTTTTTTTTTAAACTTTCCTATTTCCTCAATAATTTCCCTCTTACATGGGGTTATTCCCTGTCTTCTTGTTTACCTTAAGTTTGAAATAAATATAAAACTTAAAGATATGAAAGTTATTTTGGAAAGTTTTAAAAGGGATGTATAAGCATTATTATAGGGTACTCTGTGTTAGCTAATGTTATGGTTTTGATATTAGGTGTTCCCAAAAAACTCATGTGTGAGACAATGCAGGAAGGCTTAGAGGTAAAATGATTGGGTTATGAACATCTTAACCTAATCAGTGTGTTCATCCCCTGATAGGAATTAAGTGGGTGGTAACTGTAGGCAGGTAGAGTATGGCTGGAGGAGGTAGGTCACTTAGGGCATACCTTTGAGGTCAACATTTGTCCTTGTTTAGCAAAGCTCTTTCTCTCCCTGCTTCCTGTGGTGATGTCTTGAGTTGCTTTCCTCTACTACATTCTTCTGCTGTGATGTTCTGTTTCACTTAAGCCCTGAGAAATGGAGCCAGTGGTCTATGGACTGAGATCTCTGAAATTGTGAGCCCCCAAATAAACTTTCCCCCCTCTAAAATTGTTCTTCTTAGGTCCTTTGGTCACAGCTGAGAAAAAGTTGACCAAAATAGCTAATCTCCCCCCGCCCTTTTTTTGGTACCAGGGATTGAACTCAGGCACACTCAAAAACTGAGCCACATTCCCAGCCCTATTTTGTATTTTATTTTAGAGACAGGATCTCACTGAGTTTCTTAGGGCCTCTCTAAGTTGCTGAGGCTGGCTTTGAACTTGGGATCCTCCTGCCTCAGCCCCCTGAGCCCCATGTGCTACCACACCCGGCTCCTCCCTCATTTTTGAAAGGGCTTTTCTTTTTACCTGATTTTTTAAAAAATTCCTTTTTCCTTTGGTACTCAGGTTTTAACCCAGGGGTGCTACATCCCCAGTCCTTAATTTTTAAATTTGAGACAGGGTCTCACTAAGTTACTGAGGCTGGCTTTGAACTTTTGATGCTCCTGCCTAAGCCTCCTGAGGGCTGGGATTATGGGTGTGTGTCACCTCTACTTAACTTTTTAAAATAAGTAGTGGAAAGGTTCCTGGGAGTGAACAGCAGGGGAATCAAATAAGTAGAAAATCTTAAGACCCGAGCCAAGATAATTATGGTAGGAGTGAAATTTTAAACTAAATTTGGAAATTTCTGGCAGTTGCATAAAAATTAGCTTCAGAAGTCTAACCCCTAGATGTCTCATGCACACAACTATAGAAGAGGCAGTTGGTTTCCAAAGGAGTACCTGCATGGGTAAGACCAGGCCAAGGAAAAATATACCCTGTTATGTTTTCTAGAAACCCAGCAGCTTACTTTATAGGCAAAGATTGCTCCCAAACTCTGTAATACCCTCCTTGAAACAAGAACAAGAGACCCATTCATTCATTCTGGTGAGATAAATGTAGAGGTACAGAATTGAAAGAAAAGGGGTAGGTGTTAGAAAAAATGAGCCATGCAAGGGAACCATATGTACAATGCCATAATAATAATAGCTATAGTAGGCTGCAATTATAGTCATGACCTTCTGCTTGTTGTTGGCTAATTTCATCAACTTTATTTTTAGACATGAAAATGTTTATATAATTCCATGAGGGTGAAAAAAGTTTATAAAAATTGCCTTACTGCCTCACATTTTCCTCTCCTGACAGCTTAACACACACACACACACACACACACACACACACACACACAAACACAATCACCTCAAATATACCAGCATATGAATATCTTTCAAATTTATATAAATTCTGGTTTCATGAAGATTGAACTAAAAGAAGACATTAAGATATCCCACAAAGTTGAATTTATTTCAAAAATAAGAAGTTAGCTGGGCACGGTGGTGCATGCATATAATCCCAGCAGCTTAGGAGGCTGAGATAGGAGGATCACGAGTTCAAAGCCAGCTTCAGCAATGGTGAGGCACTAAGCAACTCAGTGAGACCCTATCTCTAAATAAAATACAAAATAAGGCTGGGGATGAAGCTCAGTGGTTGAGTGCCTGAGTTCAATCCCTGCTCCCCCACCCCCAAAAAACAAAGAAGTTAAAAACAGAACTTTAAAGAAATGAAATAGTAACAAAAAGGAGATTATTCTAAATTGCAGCATTTAAAAATGATTATTAAAATTTAGTATTTAAAAGTTGATTTATCCTAGTCATAAAAATATAATCTAATAAACAGATCTATTCAGTATTGTATAATTTAAATGTTCTAAGAGTAAAGTTGAAAAGAAATGAATTTCATAAAATAACTTTATAAAGTACATCATTATAAAATTGAAAATCTATCTTCATACATCAGGCAATAAAATAACTTTTTTTCTCCTAACTAGTTATATATTACGTTACACAAAAGACATTAAGAATCAATAGTAACTACTTCACAATTATAAGATTTTATTTATAACTTAAATTTCCAATGATGTTTAAGAGATATTCAGTAGAAAACCTGTCACATGAGAGCTATAGTACAAAGAATTCTAAGATAAATACCCTTCATGACTGATGCCTTTGCATAATCTCTTCACCTTGAGTGGAAATGGAAACTCTTGATTATGCTGAAATTTCACTCCCATGATCATGTGACATATGATAAAATACAAATTATTCTGGGTGGGCCTGAACTCATCTTTGAAAGTCGAGATTTCTCAACTTTTAAAAAATAAGTCAGACACTCAAGCATGAGAAGGACTCAAGTGTGTCACTGCTGTCTTGAAGATGAAGGGTGCCACACAAGCAGGGTTGAGTGTAGCCTCTAGAAGCTTAGAGTGATTGCTAGCAGACAGCCAGCAAGAAAATGGATATAGCCTCTAGAAGCTTAGAGTGATTGCTAGCAGACAGCCAGCAAGAAAATGGATATCTTAGTCATATATTCATAATGAACTGGATTTTACCTATCATCTGAATGAATCTGGAAGTAGATTTCTCCTCAGAGACTCCAGATAAGAAGTCAGCCTTGCTAACACCTTGATTCTGGCCCTTTGATATCCTGAGCAGAGTAGTCAGCCATCTGGGTTCCTGACCTACAGAACTGTGATCTGATGAGTGAGTATTAATTTAAGCTGCTAAATTTGTGGTACAGTGGTTCCCCCTTATCTGAGGTTTTGCTTTCCATGGTTTTGGTTACCTCTGGTTGATGACAATTCCAGAAATAAATAATTTATAAGTTAAAAAAAAAGTCTGGTAAAATCTATGGTAAGATTGAATGTTTCAGCCTGGGGTTGTAGCTCAGCGGTAGAGTGCTTGCCTGGCACACATGAGGCACTGGGTTTGCTCCTCAGCACCACATAAAAATAAAATAAAGGTATTGTGTCCACCTACAACTAAAAATATATTAAGAAAAAGAATAAATGTTTCACCTGTGAAAGGGTAAAGAAGGAAAAAGAAGCTAGTTTTGCTGTTGCAACTCAAACTGCTCAAGTTAGAGCTATAATGCACAAATGATTAATTAAGATAACAAAGGCATTAAATTTGTATATGTATTTGTAAGAAATAACATGGTATACATAAAATTTGGTACTGTCCATGGCATCCGCTTGTGGGGTCTTGGAACATATCCCTTGAGAATAAGGGGAGACTACTGTTATTTGTTACACAGCAATAAAAAATGAATATGGTGGCTTAGTAAGTATTTTGAAAAGTCCCCCAATCCCAAACTATTTACCACTATTAATTCCTATTGCCACTGTTTTCAGCATTTATACAAACAGTGGAAGTTGCATTTTTGTGTCACAGTTTGCTGATAATTATTTTAATAGCACAAGTACAGATCAAGCCATTCTTAGTCTTGCAGTTTCAGGGACTGAAACCAGCTTTGACTTCTAAAACTTACAGTGCCTTTTGGGGCAGCAACATTAATCCATTTTTCATGTTTGCTTGCTTGATTCATGAGTCCTGAAATAGAAAATTGCATAAAGTTATATCTTAATGGGCAAGAATAATATATAAGCACACAAATCTTACCATATATCTCTAAAACCAATACTTTAGAATGCCAAAAATCTTAACAATTAGTTTGAGTTGAGAAAGAGCCGCAAAGAGGTTATGTGGGCTTGCTCTCCTTTCATTTTCTTAGAACAATTGAGAGGTAGCTGCTCTGCTTTTACTTGTATCATTTTTAAAGGAAGGTTTTAAAAGAGTTTTATTGAAGTATAGTTGACAAAATAAACCACATGTATTTGAAATATACAATGTAATAAGTTTTGACATATGTAAGAAATCTGTGAAACTGTCTCCTCATTCAAGATAAGGTATATCATCCAGCATTCCCCAAAGTTTTCTTAACCCCTTTGCAATCTTTCAGTAATGACCCTCTACTATAGTTTGGATCTGGAATGTCCCCCAAAGACATGTACTAAAGGCTTAGTTCCCAGCATGGCACTATTGGAAGGTGGAAGAACTTTTAAGAGGTGGGGCCCAGTGGGAGTCCTTCTGGTTACTGGGGACAAACCCTTGAAGAGGATAGTGAAGCCCTGCCTTTCTTCATCCTGTCTCTTGTTCAATTCCTGGTAATGAAGCTCTGCACTACCACACACTCCCTACCATGATCTGCTGCCTTGCCACAAGCCCAAAAGCAATGGAGCCAATTGGTCATGAAATAGAACCTCTAAAACTTAGCCAAAACAAATCTCTTTTCAAGTTGATTATCACAGTATTTCTTGCAGTAAAAGAAAGCCAACACACTAACACACCCTCCCTTCTTTCCTTATTCCCAGCAATCAATGATCTGCTTTGGGTTACTATGAATTGCATTTTCAAAAAATTTCTAAACATGGAACCATACAGTATGTACTCTCTCTCTTTTCAAAATATGTCTTCATTCAGTGTATTATGTTGAGACTCATCTATATTGTACTGTGTATTCAGTAGTTTCTTCACAGGCATGGTAGTCAGTACTTTGTTGGGTGCTCACGAGTACTATCTACAGAATCCCCTGTGCTGTTGTTCCCTCTTGTCTGAAACTTTGTCTCCTGAGCTCTGGGAAGCCCTGGTCTGCCCAGTCTTCCCACTCAGTCTCCTGTAGTCCAAGTATCTGCAAGGCTTGCAAGGCTCTGGCTCTATTATCTGTCATTGGCCTGAAGCCTAGAAACTCTCAATGGACAAACTATGGCAATCACAGAGCTCACCCGTCTCTGCTCCTGTAACCAAAAGCTTGGCCCCTGTCCCCAATGCCAATTTAATAATGAGGATACAGTTTTGAGAAAAAGGAAAAAGTTTATTGCTTTGCTAGCAAAGGAGAAACACAGAGGAATCCTGTACCAAAGTCTGTGACTCTCCCAATCAGAAGGGATGGCAGGGTGGGTGTTACATACCAGGTGTGTTCTGGTAGGGGGCCTCTGGGGGCCCTGATGAAATGTTAGAATTCATTTGTTCATTTGGGAGATATTTATTTCCCAGATTCTCAGAAGGCATCTCCTTCCTGTAGTGGGTGTGTTCAAGGGCAATTAACTAGGTGAAGAAAGGATAACACTGTCTTCCCAATCTTGTTAGGGAGAGGTAGAGGGGAGAAGAGAGGAAAAAACATTAAAAAAATAAGCCTTAGAGCAATGAGGGCTACTTTCAGAAGGTGAAGGTACCACTGTTACACTCTAGTTCTTGTTTTCTCTGTTAATTAAAGTAACTAAGGTCTTATATCTTCTCTGGAGCTTCACTGTTTCAGGATTTAAGAAGCCAGTCTAAATTGAACTGAAGAGTTGTGTATACACTGTTAGGTGTTCACTAGTTAAATGCAAGTTAACAAATCAGAGACTAATTCTCTTCTTCAGTATAGTTTTTTTCCTTTAGTACCTCAAGGTATTCTTGCCTGAAGAAAAGATGCTTTCTACCATGAGATATTTGTGTTAAGGGTTCTTCTGAAGCATATTCTTCTTTGAAATCTTGCCTCTCTTCCTTAAACTCTGACCCACCACCCTGTCCAAGTCCTAGAGCTCACTGCATCTTTTTCAGACACAGCTGAGTATCCCCTTCTTCTTCTTTTGCTATATTTTCGATATGATCATTACTTCTCATTAGCTTTGCTGAACTGATAAAATATCTCTGTGCTCCATTTAGTAAATCCCTGTTAAAAGCTTCCCTTTCCCCTCCAGCTCTTCATTAATAGGGTTCGGTACTATCAACTTAATCTGTTTTTCTGTGCCTGTGCTACACTTGGGAGGTCAGGATTTCAAGGTACCTTGCACCAAATTGTTTGTCTGTAATACAGAATTTCTTTTTCTGGTAATTAAAATGTTAAGGAAAGAACTAGAAATCCTTAGCTCGTTCTTTAATACCATTTAGCACCAATAATAAAACATCAGCAATAGTAGGGACTTCCTAAATATCTGGGAGCTTTGTCTTAATATATAGCTCATCACTTCCCAGGTTGTTGTGCATTTCTTATGGAGTGAGAAGCCCATCTACCCACTTCCTCTTGCAGCAGGAGAGGCTAAGCACCATGCTGCTGTGGGTAACAGCAAAGAGTGATTTCAGCTTAGTGACAATATTCAAAAGACAGGGCAGTTTACAAGATTCCATTTAGTTTGCTGAAAACAGCCTTCTTGCCAATAAGCAATTTACTGAAAGCTCTTTGTACTTTGGCCTGAATCTATGGTAAAGACTCATATTCTAATTTGTAAAGTATAAATCCTTCCTTCAAAAGTCTTACAACACATATTGGAACTTGGGGTTCCAAAACCTTGTACCTTATTTAATGTTCCTTTGCCAGCGAAAATAAGGCACTTTTTCTGTGACCAAGAAATGGTAAAATGACTACCCTATCCCTATGTAGTATGGCTTCTATTGAGAATGAGGAAAGGTTGCTTAAGACATATGTTTAACTCTGCCATTTGCTTTCTAAACCCCTACCCCGGATCTATTCTAACATATGAATCTACAAGTTTTTAAAGGTAGATTAAACTTGTAATATGAATTACAAGTTTAATCTACTTTTAACCCAAAAGGCACCTAATCTAATCAGCTCTAACTGTGGACAAACACGGGGTTCTGGGGAATAATTTGCAGAATTATTTCTTTTTTTAAAATACAGGATTAAAAAGCTTCTTAGAAAGATGAGCTTCTTCCTGCCTCCCTCCAACTCTCACTTCAGACTTTGTTTATTTAAATTTGGTTCAAAGAGACACTTCTGCTTCTGCCTTTTTTTGCAGCAGATAAAACTTCAGCACATCAGGGTTGGAGGGTTCCCTTTTTCACATGACAAATACCATGGACTATGTACTACCACAAGCACCATACTAAGTAATTTAGGGAGATTCAAAAAATATAAAAAGACAAATTATGCCTTCACGAGGTTTACCAGTACACTAGGAAAAGAAATCATACATGTATGAAACAATATGAAAATAATTACTCTGAACTTTTATTATTTTTAACACATAAATTTCATAAAGTAAACCCCTAACAATTAAATTCCATACAGAATATTTTGTCAACAATAACTAGAGTTTTCTTTTAATAAAAGTACAACCCAAGATATTTTGACAAACAGTCTTTACTGATAAGAAAATATTTATAAGCTAGTTTTAATGGTACCCATCTATTATATTTTCTCTCCAGTATCTGGAACAGTAACAAAGTTAACAGTACTTTAGGCATTGAGCAAGAATACAATTAGTAAGTTCTGCCTGAGAAACAATCTCATAAACTCCTTCCTCAGATCTGTCCTTCTGCGATATCTAATCCTATCTATTTCCTTTTTCATCTCAGACTTATAATTCTAAGAATTCAACTTTGGGTCTTTTTCATATCTCATATGCCTTAAGTTTTTGAACATATGGAATAACAATTATGATGATGGTTTTATTTTCCTTCTCTGCTAATCTAATATCTGTGTCCTTTCTGGGTTGGTTTCATTGGTTCTTCTTTTTGTTATGGTTCATGTTTTCTTTCCTCTTTGAATGTCTGATAGCCTCTGAATGGATTTTAGATGTTGTAAATGTTACTTTGTTAGGTGCTAAATACTTTGTATTCTTATAAATCTTGAGTTTTGCTTGTGAATGAAGTTAAGTTACTTGGAAACAGTTTAAGTCTTTCATCTCTTGCTTTTCTCATTTGTCTGGCAGTTTGGAGTTGAGTTCTATCTAGGACTATTTGTTTCCCACTACCCAAAGCCCTATGAGTTATGATTTGTGTTTCTGATCTAGTGGATAGAAGGGGCATTATTTCTAGATGCGTGTGAGCACTAGGCTCTACTCCCTCTGGAAGTTTGTTCTGCAAAATTAGTTGTTTTGGTCTCTGTGGACTCATATTGGATCTCATCAATTCAGGTAGTCTGCCAGTAATAGTTCTCTGTACTTAGCTTGATGACTTCCTTGGCAGTGATCAAGGCTCATTTTATTTGTTTCCCATCTCCCAGTGACTACTTTCTTTACTGCTTGATGTCCAGTGTCTTGAAAACTTCAAATATTTTGTCTGTTTAATGTGTGTGTGTGTGTGTGTGTGTGTGTGTTTGTGTGTATCACAGCTTCAGGTAGGAAGGTAACTTGGTCCTGAAAGACCCTAGCCCAGTTAGCCCAGTTACCTAAGGCCAAGATATGAAATCAAGATACCGGGCTTGTCATAAACAGGCTCAGGCGCCGGATGTGCTTTCCACATAACCGGTTGAGAAAGGACAGAGCACCCGCATCCTGAGGCATGAATGAATAAACAGGAACAGATAAGCAGGAACAGAAAGAATAGAATGCAGACCTATGGTTTTTGGAATGCAGACCTGTGGTTTTTGGAATGCAGACCTGTGGTTTTTGGAATGCAGACCTGTACCCCCTAGGTGGCCTATATGCTAGATTTAAACAAACCAATAAGAAACCTGGCGTGAGAAACCTGTCCCTAACCCTATAAAAATCTCTGTATCCCCAAGCCCGGTGTGCCAGTTCACCAAAGCTCCGGCTGAGGTTCTGCTG